ATGATATCTTCTGTATAGTAACGCCTTAATATCAACTCATTCTTACATCACTAGTAGCTAGAATGATTTGTGCAGTCAGAATAAACAAAAATAATTTTCATTTCGATCAGTCTTAATTGTCATATTTGCTTCCTATACAGGCTCTTGATACAGCCATTTTGTCACAAATTTCTACACAATAGATGGAATCCAGGATGCGGGTTTCATTCTATTTAAGTCTCGTCAGCTGAGTGTATGTGAATCTCAGTATTGATGTTCACACTGGCACCGAAACCCAATCCATTAAAAATTAAATTAAAATTCGTACTTGTTGCACAAGCTAGTGGATATCTGAGCTGAGTTACTCAACAGATAACTCGGGCGTTTAATGGAAAAGGTACTGGGTTCGAGTCCTGCTGTAAGCATTAACATTGAAATCTAGGTGTATGTTTAGCTGACGAATTTCAAATGTAACGAAACGCGCTTCCTGTCTTCTCTGCTGGCCGCACCTCATCATACTCTATAAGAGCCTATTTTCTTTAAGTTAAAGAGTTTGATTTACTTTTCTGTATCATTTGATTCCAATGACTCAAGGTATATTTGCATGAATTGTAAACAGCTTGTTCTGACACGGTTTTTAATCCAGTGATTTCTAGTTGATAAGTAACATTACCACCGGAATGAAAAAATTCTTCTATTTTTAACTTTATCATACTTTGTTTCACAGTGTTAAACAGTTACACCTACTTGGATACAAATTATACGGAAGCTGTGGAACTGCTGACTTCTATCAAACTCAAGGCATTTCGATCATCCCAGTTGAATGGCCTTACGAAGAATCAGATATAAGCATTTTTGATAATAAGTGAGGTCTTTTTGTAACATTTTCCTCAATTTTTTGGTATTTATCATTGTAATCAAAGCTCACTTTGTCTTTAAAAATGTTCAGGAGAATTTCGAACAAATGTTCTTACTGTATGTTATGATTAATCTTCTATTTCTTGTTTTAGCCTCGTGTTGTTTAGTATGTTGCTGTTTAGCTATTTTTAGTGGCTTTGCTTCGTTAATCGATCACCTCGATGACCGTTATAATATAAATCTCAATGGCATATAAATCAGAAGGCAATGAGAAACGACAACTACAAGTTATTAGCGGATGGCGTAGATCATAAAGCTATAAGCACATCGAGCATATTCGAAGCGAGAGGCGAATAAGAATATAAGAGCAATTACATAGGCAAATTTATAGTCGAATTCATAAGGCAAAGCAAGGACTAACAATAGGATTTTAGTACATATGTACAAGGGAAGGAGGATGAATCATCGAGTGATAATTAAGCGATCAACATTTTAGCTGGAGTCTGTCATATGATCTAATGATCATAACGCTACAAAGAAATATACGAATTGTTACTGTTCAAATAACGTGGTCTGTTAAGTAAGCTAATAAAAGGGTTTGACAGAAAATTAATCACAGTCGAAATTGGTTGTAGGATAGTTGCTATATATTTACTTAAATTAGGTTTCTTTAAACTTTTTTTTAGAATTCAAAATAATATGGATGCAAACTCAAAAGACGGTACAATTCAGCAGTATCTTAAAGATAAACTGTTTTCATTGATTGTTAGTTTATCATTGAAAAAAGTGGGATCTCGACGTCTTTCAGCATTTGTTACACGTGGTGAGCAACATGTCACTCATTTTGTCAGGTTATACAAAATTTTTCAATTCACACACTAGACTTACCGTGTCTAAAATTAGGAACACTAATTAAATATTACAAGTAAAATGCAACAGGACATTCTGTACTAAATTATAAACTACTGTAGGTATTTTGGAATAAATGTGTTATAACGCTCAGTTTGACTTCGTCTTAGACGAATATCTACACTAGATTTCCTCCCAGTGTCTATTCTACAGGTCTTCAACACAACTCAGATCAAGAACACGTGATTAGCCTGACCACAACGTAAATATATTTCCGCACCAAAACCCCGACACATTTCAACAACAATGAACAATCAATAGTAAGTGAGTGAGTAATAATAATAAGGATAGGGGAATATGTATCTCATCTGACATCTGTCAGACTATCTACATGTCTGACTAACCAGACAATCAATCATTATCATTCTCGCCCACACATCGAAATGAAAATTATAGATTAAATCTATACGAGTTCCCTAACCTTATATTTTATAGATCGTCTTTAATTAGTTTAGGAACAAACACGTTTACTTATTCAGACATATAAACATTGGAACAAAGAGGAATCAAATTTACATGCGTCGAACAAATCATTTGGTTCTTACGAGGCCTGGGATACTGTTTCGGGCTTCAAAACTGAAGAAGGTGGTTTTATTACCGGGCCACAACCGAAGCCTTCGACTATGCTCATGTTAGGTTGAGATAAACGCAGTAACAGTTAATACAAGTTATTTTTTCTGTGTAAAAGCGTGAACTTATTTTTTCGAGTTTCACCTACTAAGCTTATTTTAATATTATTTATTTGAACACATAAATGTCGGTACTAAAGTGTACCGAATACATATGCACCACACAAGCCACTTGAATTGTATGTGGGCTGTAATACTACTCGGCTGCCCAGACCGAAGCAGGTGGTTTTCTTAAGGTGTCACACCTGGAGCCTTTGACCTAAAGGTCTGATCCACAAGACAGTGGAGCAACGTTGAGAGATGCAGTCCCGTGGTAGCCAGTCACCAGCAATAGGTTCATACGCCATTTGTTCCTTCAGGATACTGAGGCCCATGTGAACCATTGGTTTGAAATCAGGGTTTTCCAACTTCCCTAGGTGGACTCTCTGTGTCCACTAACCCGGTTAAAGCGCCGGACATCCGCTTTTCGTCCTCTGAATTTCGTAAACAACACTCCCGCTACGAGAAGGCAGTGAGTAGGACTTCTTTGAGAGAGATTGTATACGCGTGGTCATGTGAGAGTATTTCGAGAGGGAGAATTGACCCTTCCCACTCTCAATTGTAGAGTATTGTGGGCAGCAAATACGTAATATCTATACATTCCTTTATACTCAAGACTCTGCGTTGCTGAAATGCTATGAGATTGTCTCTTTATAGTAATTATAATTCAAAAATCATATACAATGAAGTTTTTTTGTGTAAGACGCTGAACAAATTTTGGAATTCTGTTTTAATGAAATCGAATATAATATGAAAGGATACATTTTCCTTACCTTCACTGCAATTGTTATGAATCGCCATTGAAATCTCTGAATTTCTTTGAGTAAACGGATTTCGATTGCAGTCTTAATCCCTGTAGTAGATTCATTCTGGTTTAACCTTGGTATATGACATTTATCTTTTGCATCAGCAATTTACAATCAAAAGCTAATCAAGTTACAAAAGATTTACGAAACTCAGCATGTTGTTTGGTGATTCACATCTATTATTAGTAACTTTTTCGTTCATAAAATTCATTTAGGCTATCAAACTAGACGTCTTGCCGTTGACACAAATGTACCTCTTCTAACTGATGTAAAACTGGCTAAACTTCTAATCGAAGCTCTTTACCGTTATTTTCATGGACAGAATGCAAATAAAACAGTAATAAAATCTGAAGACAATGAATATAACGTATATAAACAATCGTTCCTTCATCGTTTACTTCCATTGCATTCAATAACTTCCAGTCAAATAATCTATTTGCCAGGATTGATCGATATTCACGTCCACACCAGGTAATATTTTATGCGATAGTCACCTTGTATCTTTTTATATTTATTCACTGATGACCTGATAATATGCAACATGGTTTTGCGTAGAAACATGCCATTAGACTATCCTAATTAGAACGACTTGAGGTGTTTCACAATTTGTTTGACATTCGTCCTAATACTGGTGTTTGATTATTGGTGAAAATTACGGAGTAGTTATTAAATGATTTATCATTCACCTAATGTAAGTTATATCTAATTCAGTTTGTTAACGAATTACCGATTATTGTACTCACTTTGAAATTACACTTGTTTAAACGTTACGCACTAAGTTATTAGACAAATCAAAATCAGTGATAAATGTTAGAATCTGTTATCAGTGCCAAAAATCAAGTTATTGAACAACTGAATTACAGTTACACATTCTTTTATTTATGGTTATTCCATAACTGAAGTTCAGTGTGCTGATTGAATAGTGTTAAACAAGGTCTGTGTTTAGTTTGGATCAATAGCTATTTGTAGAACTTTTAAATTCAAAATCTACTAAATTTAGGTAAAATACCTAAAGTTATCATCTATTCTGTAAATTTGAGAACTCATTGACCAAATAAATCCCATATCGTTCTGGATAGTTATATCATAAGGGTATAACTAAATCTAACAGGATGATTTCGTTTTCATGCCCTTCAAAAGCCTTAGAAAAGTCATCTGGATCGATAAAATAGGAACTGTAATAATTGAGTAAGCTAATTTATCGAATGAAATCACTTATTTAATTAGTATTTAGTTTAAAAATTATGTCGACTAGATTACATTTAATTAGTCAGTAAAATGTGCACAGGCCTAAAAAGAATCTTCAGTAAACCAGCTCTAATGGCAAATGAATGGAGCCGTTGTCTAACTGAAGTTATCCTTATTTTATAATAACATTGTGTTGGCAGTATATTCGGCAAATCATATTCATTTGGTTGTAAATTAGATATGTTATAACTTGTGAACTATGTGCCCTGTTAATGTATAACGTAACGATACCGCCAATTAGAGAGCAGTGACTTATCGATCGGATCAATGACGCTTAAACCCGTATGGGCAGTCTAGAGTCCCTACTGGCCCTGCTTCGTGCCTAGCCCAGCCAGTTAAGTCCAGAACACAAATTCCAGCCTCTGTCATATGATTTATTTATTTCAAGCATTTCAATCAAACAGACCACAACGTACCATAAAATAGAAAATAACATTTGTACAAGATTTGACCAAAAGTGGCTGTGAATGAGGGAGGTAGTGATTAATAGACAGGGCATAATTCAAGAATGGTGAGACGTATAATAATAGTTCATAGTTCAAAATAAAGCTTATGATAAGAAGAATATGAATATGCATAGTATAGTTACTTAACAATTATACGATAAAAATATACGTTTAGTATTTGTCCATAAATGGATCCCAAAAGTTACCATTCATTATACTTATCGGGACATAACAAGATAGTTTCTTCTGATTTGAAAGGTTTATGAGTTCTTTGTAAATCAATTTGATAGCGTTTTTGAAGATGAGAATGTTACATGTAAAACGTTTTTCTGATAAGCATAGATTTTATGTTAATAGTTCACTAAAAAGTGACTTAAACTGTTCACTATAAGTAATATAACCTCTTGTTATAGAAGTGATTATGGTTTTCCTGATGAAAATAGTGTGAAGATAATAAATCTCATTTATATTAATCACATAAGATGGTAATTAACAACAAGTAGTATGTTTTTGTAGTACATTCAAACACTTATCCAGAGGCTATTACTGATACCCTCTGATATGTTCACCTTTAATTGTTTGTTCTGTTAAATAGAGGTCAATGTTCAATAGGATGTGTATGATTGCTATTGACATTCTGACTATGAATCTTTATTTGGTAATGATTTTGTCACCATTATTCTCATCTCTATACATCCAAAGCAAGTTGGTGTAAGTGAATTAACACTTTTGATCGGTGCCAAGATTTCGCCAGCCACCAACTTACTAAGACTGTTGTAATTTTCAGGATAAATGAACTGATTGACAAGTTGGACTATGTTAATCTCTATAGTCAGATTAAAAGTTAATACAGATGAGTTTTTGAATTAGTGGTAGACAAACTCATCCCAAACTATCTCAGATTGTTGCTCAAGCTATTGAAAAGACTCATTTACTTTACTAAATGAAACTGATATCTACCTACTATGTCACCGACTAGCTCTATAAGTAAGAGATCAATCCTCGGAAAGTCAGATAGAAAAGTGTTGTTTTTGGAGGTATACCTTTCATAAAATTAGATAAAACTAGAGAATTTATCAGTTTTCATGAACTGCACTTGATGCAGATAATCGAATTGGTAGTTTACCGTAATATCCAGCTTTACCAATAGTACCCAAACAAAGAACTTTCAGTAGGTTTACAAACATTTTTTTAACGTGATTGGAATCTAACTGTTTAATATGACTAAATCTGACGTCCGTATGTATCTTTTTGGAACATTTTAACTTACAAATATTTGGCTAATACTTCCACCACTATGTTTAAAATCTATATAGCTTTCTCCGGTTCAATGTTACCATTCTACATTTAAGCGTCAGGTGATTAAGAAAGCTAATATTTTAGACGCCATATTAGTTGGAGTGATTCGTCCGTGGCTATCAATAAAGGATCTCCTTTCTTAGAAGACGATCGCAACACTCAGGTGTAACGGCATCCAGTTTTTAAGATCTGATTAGTAATTAAACCAATTTTAATGGTAATGCTAATGCATCATTCATAAAGACTTTTGAAACTAACTTATTAAATTTTGTTCCTGTTGTTCGCTTTAAGTTAGCTATTGTCTTCCAAAATTCACTTAGATTCAGACGGTTTATACATGTCTTTCGTTCAAGGTGTCTGTAAATAGTAGCAAGTGGAAAGAGTAACTGGAGCGAATTTAGGCTGTTTCACAAAGTGTTGAATCTATCATTCCAGTCGCCTAGATTGAAAGTAAATCACAGCTCCACCTATTTCCCAGATAGTTTCAATGATAGCTGATCTTTTAACATATATATATATATATCTCATAAATCTGGAAAACTATTCTATGTTAACTATTGCAGCTGCTTTTTCCATCCTTTCTGCTTTCAATCGCTACACAAGCATTTTGTTTACGCTTAAGTTGCCTCGAATCACTATCGCGTTCGGACCCTGTCGAGATATATTTAGCTGCAGAAATCAATTCAGTAAATATTTCAAACATTCACTATTCATTTTCTAAACATTTTGATGTAGGTTGCTAACAGATATGTTTGTGTTTACACCTAGTTGAATACTATATCGAACTAGTTGGAGACGAGTATTCTTATGTGGCTATAAGTGTTCAGCTAGTTCTTCCTTGGATATATCCGTAACATTTACAACTTTAGACTAAGCTCCAAAAGCCATCCCAGTTACTTTGGTCTTGTACATGAACATCATCAAAATCCAGAAATGAACTCTGGAAAGAGCTGGAAATTTATACCAAACCTCCTCAACAAAGTTTTATTAGTGTCAATCTTTGAGTTTCTGTTGAGTGTCCCCAAATCAGAATATGTCGTTGGTCTAATTCACGAATGTTCACTACACTTTCTGATTCCAAACTAGAATCATACCAATGGGATTACCAGAAGTCACTAATAAAGTTCCATGTAGATGATGGCTGAATTGTGTTGGTTCTCCACACCGATAGTAAGACATCATTTATGGACCTTATATTTTATTTTATTTTTGGTCCTAAGCACTCTTCAACTGACCTGTCTTGGATGTTAGAATATCAGACAACGAACATTACGCTCACTATAGGTTGTTTCAGTCATCATCAAGAAACTCCGATCACTTCATTAATTTCACATATAGGTTAAATGCTTTCTGTTTAGTGTTTTTCAGGTTAAACAGGTTTCGATATTTTTCCCAAATAATCCTTTCAAGTTGTCTTACAAGGTAAAAGTTATGACCATTTAATTTAACTACGTGATAAAGTGATTGACTATAAATTCCTCTATTATAAGATCCTCCACAAATGATATGGGTTTTGGCTGATGAAAAAGTCAGTTAATGAAATATTTTCATGACTATTCTCTGGGTATTTTAAAAATTGATGACTTGTTATTTTCATCTTTGTCTATTACTTATACAGGGATCCCGGAATGGAATATAAGGAGGACTGGACATCTGTTACTAAAGCTGCGCTTGCGGGTGGTATAGTAACTATTTTAGCAATGCCAAACACTGATCCTGCAATAGTTGATGAAGATACCTTTAACATTATGAGCAGAAATGCAACATCTAAAGCGTGTTGTGATTATGGTCTTTATGTTGGCGCATCATCGGAAAATGCTTCCACTATCAGCTCACTGTCACACAAAGCTGTTGGACTCAAGATGTATCTTAATGAAACATTTACTTGCTTATCGTTAGGCAATAAGCTTAATATTTGGCGTCAACATTTTGAAGTGAGTAAGACGCAACAAAGCTTTTTCTTCACTACAACTGACAGTATTAGTACTGAAGCTCTTATTATCTATATTATTTAAATGTTGACAAATTTAGCATAGAGTATAATTCATTATTCAGGATATTTTTTTAGGAAAACACGTTAGTTTATTTGATAAATAAATGAAAAATAACACTATACAGTAATCATTTATGTTTTTGGTGAATTTTCGTTTTCTGAGCCAGATGGTTTATTTATGGAACTTTCATTGTTCTTCTGAACAGCATTAGCACAAAATTCAAGTAGAGGTGACGTATTCGAATTTCTTCACAGTCTATTAGAATTCATCGATTTATGGTTAACAAAATACTTTCACTTCAGCCATGAAATATACAAACAGATGAAAAGAACACCAGTTTCATCAGCAATATCATAACCTATTGCAGAAGCAGTGATGCAGAGATTGGAAGCATCGAATTTACCAGTAATCAACCCGAAAATGTGGATTCTTTATGTGAACGACACGTTCGTCATCATCAGAAAAGACAGGCTGGAAAACACCTACAGTCTGATCAAAAACGTTTTCGATGAAATAAAATTAACAACGGCAAAGGAGTCCAACAACAAACTATAATTCTTGATTGTATTGATCACAAGAATCAACGCAGGGAAACTGGGGACTAATGTTTATCGGAAACCAACCCATACAGATCATATTCTCATTTGCAGTAGCAACAACCCGATAACTCACAAAATTAACTTCATACAAACGTTTTTTGAAAGGTTGAAAACACAACAGCACACTTATAGAGCCAAAAAATGAAGAAAAATATCTTTCAAAAGAGTGGCTATCCACTCAGCTTCATTAAAAAAATGTCAACCCCATTTTATTGACCAGACTGAAAGCAAATATGGAAACCAACAAACGAATAATTCTACGATATATATAAGAAATTACGAGATTATTAAAACCGTTTGAAATAGATGTAGTATATAAACCGTCAAAATCACTGTAATCAATCTTATGGCAAGCAAACCAAAGGATGAAATGGCAAAAAAAGTGAACATCAACAAAATGCACTGTTCCAACTAAAATAAACACTAAACCGGACGAAATGGAGGTCCTCATTATCTTCCCCTGCATAAACATCAACTGGCGGTCAAACACCATGATATATATTTGCTTATTATTATGAATGTGGCCAATCGTGGACACACATTCGACTGAAAAAACACTGAAATCTCGGATAGAGCTGATACTAAGAACACCAGAAAATTTTTAGGAGCTTGGTACCCAGGTCGATGAGCAATCAACAAGCACATCGAAATTAATCCAATTTACCAACCACTTAAATAAATCATGGATAAAGATGGATACAAGAATCAGACCCAAGGGGAATAAAATCGAAATAAAGATGCAGACAATGGCAGGTTAAAGGTCAACAATAATCTTTCAAGATCGAGGTCAACAGGATAATCTGTGAGTCATATATTAAAAAATTCGAATATTCCACCTCTACCGGAATTTTGTGCTGATGTTGTTCAGAATAGCAATAAAAGCTCCACGACTGAACCATCCAGCTGAGAGAACAAAACTCAACTGAAATCATCTACCTGAGCTGCAAGTCTTCTCCATCATCCCTGTTTAGACATTACTTGTTTATGTTTTCAGCTGCCAGAATTTTCAACAAATGCAAATTCAAATGTTTACAAAATATCTGTACAAATTAACCATTCGATACAAAATCAAATAAAAGCTTTTTAGGTATATCTTTATATTGTCAATCGCACCGTACGATAGGAATGCTTGTTCTAATTATCACTACAAAATTACATAATGTTGCTGTCTATCATTAAATTCATACGTAATCCGTATACTTCACATACCTTTTCTAACTAAAAGTGAACAAAATTTATATCAAAAACAGTGATTTAATGACAATTAATGATCGACTGCTTTAATTACTCGACGGATTTCTACTTATCATGATAGAGTTTCTTTTACTTGGAATCCCTTCTAATTTATGAACTAGACAATATTAGGGGTTTAAAAACCAGAAACGTGGTATATGTAGAGTACTAGGTAACTCATCTACTTGAAATGAATGTTAGTGATAAGCAATTAGCTACCATGGTTCTTAGTAAGTTTAGCCTGAGTTGTCGCACATTTTTAAAAAGTCTAAATCTATTGTATGTGTTAATTATTGCTCAGTTAGCTACAACGTACGACCAGGCACGTACATGGAACGGTCCAAGTTGCCACACCTCATTAGCACAACAAGATGAACACCAAATTCATAAAAGTAGTCCCCTCAATGGTATTAATGTATAAAACAAGGATTGTGTATATGGATATATTACGTGAAGAAAGACTTAATTCATAGAAAGATATAAAGCGATTACCAAAGTAAAAGTGATTCCTGAAGGAGTTATTCAATTAGGAACAAGGACTAGCTAATATAATCTCAGTAGAAAGTGAGTAATCGTACTTAACTTTAACTATCATTAAGATCCTATCAACTCAAAAGAATTTTCCACGTTAATTCCATCATTTTTGCTTCCATCGCATTATCTATTATTTTAGTCCCGCGTGCAGGATAGTGGGCGCATAA